AACAATTTTGTAACTTCCGAAACAACTTTGAATTTAAAGTAGCAGAAAATATATGAACTGCAGGACATATCTATCCTAACATTTTGTTAACATCACATGGCAGCTACCCATCAAAACAAAAAAATTGCAATACATTATTACAATACTATTTTATGGTTAAAACCAATTTTCCGTAAACAGTTGCAATGTCCAAAGCAAAGAAAACCCAATTAAATGATGATAATCCATATTTAAGGGTATCTAGAGTGAATAAATTGTTTTGAAATAAGTTATTATAAGTCTTAACACAAGTCAAATCACAAATCAGGCCTTTCAAATCAAATAATTTTTTGTAATCACAAGAAGGGTGTTTCCGATGTTACACAATGGTGGTTGCACAAATTCTTGATGATCAGCAGTGTCTGATTCATTGAATGAATATTCATCCACATGATAAGTGAAGAGATCGCCATGTTGTTTTCTAGCGCCAACTTGATGATTTTCAGAAGATACATCATCAAGACTCAATTGTGATATATCCATACCATCAATAGACAAATCGTCCTGACTCGAGTGAAGTCGATCGAGGGAGCAAATTTTTGCTTTTTCTTGGGAGTACTTGCAGCAATACGTACTGGTGCTTCTGCTAGGTCTACATCATGCAGACTTAGTTGCAATAAATCTTGTAGTAAAACTCTGAGTCTGAGTAAGACTCATAAATACTGCCTGAATGAAAATCCATGTCATCGATAGACAGATCATGAATATGATTAATCCCTGCTGCTGTAGCCATGTTAGAGTCTTAGACTTGTTATATCTGACAATATAATGATTATTTTCAATCATGATATGATTGATTGATATTCACAGAGAATAAGTTTTTATAGTTTTTCAATGCAGTGAATGACTCCTGTCAGTAGGCCTATAATGTAGACTTTCTGCTTACTACATGCTCTACAGAAAATACTTCCACTATCCACCTCACTGCACTTGGTCAGAATTACATAACCTCATCTGCAATGAGTTGGCAATGTAGGTTGATGCACTGTGTCGGTTTGGGAGTACGATTATGGTGTTTGCATTTGCTCTGTGTGCGTGTGTGTGTAAGTGTGTAAGTGTGTGGGAGCGCGTGCGAGTGAGTGGATGTATGTAAAACTTGTGGCAGGGGCATTATGACATTACGAAAAGCTCTCGTTGTACCCCACCACTATAGCACAGCAGTCAATGTAATCTGGTGGGGTAGCACCATAGACGTAATTGGTAGCACTACCCCAGTTTTGTTTCTCTCGTTAAAACTTTGAGAGAGCTACTACTATTACACAGGCACCAATGGGAATCTGATGGGGTCTCACTACCCCACTTTCGATTCTCTCCTTAAAAACTTGGACAGAGCCTTGAGGCTCTGAGTGAGAGATTAAGATATGGGATTGCAGCAGGACTCTGATCATCATCTTACGTAATACTAGTGTAAACAAACTCTTACTTGGGTCTGCCTGAAAGGAAATGAGAAGTAGGAAATAAGTATTTTACTTGTTTTAAGATATTTTCATGTCCTAAAGTCACTAAAAATTTAGATGAAGACCAAAATGAAAGTTCGAACGAAGCAAAATGACCCATAATTGGCAATATAACAACAATTTTAACTCTGGCAGCGAACCCCTGCATGTGACTTTCTCCCTTCTCCCTTCCTTTCCCCTTGTATCATGCTTATCTCTCTTGCGCTATCACCTCATCAAGGTCTCGGTGGGGGTGGATTACAGCGCTTTAGTGTTTACTTAAATAGGGCTTATCACAATCTCAGCTCTAGTACAAGTAGAAATGGTGAAAGTCAAATGGGGGTTTCAATTTTAAACGACGAGTTTTCGTCATGACAGATAAACATTGTTATGTTAATTGTCAAGGGTATGGAGTTATACAATAATAGATCCATGTTTTGAGGAGGGAACTTTTGCTTCTGTAGGTTTTTTTGTTCATAGACTTAAAACATATGTTGTAAGTCTATGGTTTGATAAATAGAGGTCAAGGAATTTAGGAAATGTTAGTTTTGAGCACACTCTTTTCCACCTACCATTTGAAATCAATTCATGAATGAAATTATATGCTCTTCCAAAGAATAGAATTACAGCGTTTCTAAATCTAAATAAGACAAAATTGTTATGTATCAATTTGAAATAAAAACCTGCAGACTGTGAATGTACATTTACAGTAATTGAGACTTTTTTTATAAATAATTTTTATACATGATTTATGCAGAAGCAAGCAAATCAGAAATATCAAGTATAGTCATGAAATCCTAATTAAAATTTGAGCTCAAGGCCTCAAAATCCATGCATTACCCCAAATTTCACATGAAGCGGAAAATATGCTCAGAAGCGATGAAGATCGAGGTTGGATACATGCTTGTAGGTATTTTACATGGTTGAAAGTATGGCTGAAACTCTGTAGCAGCAGCCATGCACTGATTCAAAATTTAGGACTGATCCATGCAGCCTGCTATTTAGCAAAAAAAACCATGCACGATAATAATTAAGATGCCTTTTTGTCAAGTTGTTATCCCCAAACAAACACACTCTCTGGCCCATCAAAAATTAAGCTTTAGTATATTTACTATGAAATACATCCCAATATCTCCATGGAAGTCTGTAGGCCTATTGTCGTGTTGGGATCGATGTGTTATGTTATTGGCGGTAGGAGAGGTACATCAATAAATATGAAGAAGTAAGGATAGACTATATTAAGAGTATTATCTCCAAACTTTGGAGACTCGAATCGGTCACCTCATTATGAACTTCCACATTGTAAAATACAAGATGAAGAGAGAGCCAGCTAGAAAGAGGGTCTTGATCATATCATGGAGTTACTCCATGATCATATGAGGGTAGGTTACATTGTGTCAAAGGGACAAAGACAAGTTCCCTCCATGGAGTTATGTTCCCTCTCACAGTCATTTAGCTAACACATGTAATCTGTTCTGGGAAAGTGTCTTATGAAACAAAGGGGGTTTTAGTTATTGGGAGCATGTAGTAGGGTCCATGTTGGGAGAAAGACAGGAAGTCTTTTGTTTTGGAGGTTTGGGGGCTCTTATCAAGTGTATACAATTTGGGGTTTATTTGGCTAGATTAAGTTATTAAACAAATGTCTTGGAAGGAGGTCTGGTATTTCGCAGGGTGGGTCTTATCTGTATTGGGGCATATACTGAGTGATATTACATATTATTACCGAGGAGTGTAGACTTGTACTACCATTACATAACAATATATAAAGGAATTGGTGTGCACCTAAACTTGGACAATATAAGAAGGATACATATCATTCTGGATAATCACCATTCGTTCATCATTTCTTTCCTGGGCCTTGATAACTGCATAGATAAGGTGAGAATATTTCTTCTAAGGTATTGATATTTGCTAGCTCACTCAATGCAATTAAAGTATGCATGACATATTTCAGCATGAATATCTGTATGAGATAAGTGTGACATTCAACAAACCTTGGACAGATCAAGGTGTAGCAATTGCATACCTCTGAAAGATCGACGAACCTTGGTAACAATATGGTGTGGAGATCGACGAACCTTTGAAAGAGTGAAGTGTGGCAATCGACGAACCTTAGTAAGAGTATGGTGTGGCGATCGACAAACATTGGAAAGAGTAAAGTGTGGCGATCGACGAACCTTGGTAACAATATGGTGTGGAGATCGACGAACCTTTGAAAGAGTGAAGTGTGGCAATCGACGAACCTTAGTAAGAGTATATGGTGTGGCGATCGACAAACATTGGAAAGAGTATAGTGTGGCGATCGACGAACCTTAGTAAGAGTATGGTGTGGCGATCAACGAAAATTGGGAAGAGTAAAGAGTGGCAATCGATGGACGTTGGTAAGAATAAAGTGTGGCAGTCGACAAACCTTGAACAGATCAAGGTGTGACGATCGACAAACCTTGGACAGATCAAGGTGTGGCAATCGACAAACCTTGGACAGATCAAGGTGGGGCAATCGACAAACCTTGGAAAGAGTAAAGTGTGGCAAACGACGAACGTTGGTAATAATAAAGTGTGGCGATCGACGAACCTTGGTCAAAGAAAAGTGTGGCGATTGACGAACCTTGGAAAGAGTAAAGTGTGGCGACCGACGAGCCTTGGAAAGAGTAAAGTGCGGCGATCGACAAACCTTGGAAAGAGTGTGGCGATCGACTAGCCTTGGACAGATCAAGGTGTGGCGATCGACAAACTTTGGAAAGAGTAAAGTGTGGCGATCGACGAGCCTCGGAAAGAGTAAAGTGTGGCTATTGACGAACCTTGGAAAGAGTAAAGTGTGGCGACCGACGAGCCTTGGAAAGAGTAAAGTGCGGCGATCGACAAACCTTGGAAAGAGTAAAGTGTGGCGATCAACGAACCTTGGTCAAAGTAAAGTGCGGCGATCGACAAACCTTGGAATGATCAAGGTGTGGCAATCGACGAACCTTGGTCAAAGTAAAGTGTGGCGATCGACAAACCTTGGACAGATCAAGGTGTGGCAATCGACGAACCTTGGTCAAAGTAAAGTGCGGCGATCGACGAACGTTGGTAAGAATAAAGTGTGGCAATCGACAAACCTTGTACAGATCAAAGTGTGGCAATCGACGAACCTTTGCTGGATACTTGCAAGAACATTGTTCTATAACGACAAAGGTAAGGACCATTATTTTCTGTAACCCAAGAAATTTGGTTCTATTTGAGTGAAAAAGTAGTATTTTAGACCATCTAGAATTGCATGAAACGGTCCATTTTTTTAGACTTTTTTGGAAAGTCTACTTTTTTTTTGGAATGGGTTTATGGGTCCATATACTACTAATTCTGTTAAACCCAACACTTACTCTATATAGGATCACGTTTATCAAACATAAACGTATGCCTCAGACTAGCTTTTTCTGTCAAACCCGATTCTGAACAAATTTCTTAAGCCCAGCATTTGGATTTAACTGAATAAGTAAAAGAAAGAAAGAAAAAAAAAGGAACAGGAAATCTAAGGCGTATACTCACACGAGACATGGAACAATTTCTTTCCAGAACAAGGACAAGACAGTGATCAGAGCCGGATGAGCGTTGCGTGACAAAATGGTTGAATGAGGAGTTCAACAATGATCTTCTTCATGTTCGCATTGGACAATTCCATTTCCGAAGAGGGGTATGAAGGGGGTGTGGAATCAATGCTCTAAACACTTTCTTTTATAACGACGCTCTCTAACAAAGAAGTCAACATTCGTGACAACAAAAACAAGGATTAAGTTAGCCTGTCTTTCGAAGCTTCGATCTAGAAGAGTGAAACACTATTGTTTATGGAACTCAATGCAAAATTAAAAGTGCAATATGTTATAACTGCAGGCGCGGATCCAGTGGGGGGGGGGGGGCGAAAAAAAAAACTGAATTTAGACAAAGATTAAGAGTCGATAACGACACAACAAATCGTCTTTTTTTTTCTCTAATGATTTATTGAAACGTAAGCTTCCGCTTAGCGCGGGAGGGGGAAAACTAAATTCAGACGAGGATTATTTTTTGGGAACGGTACAACAAATCGTCTTCTTTCTCTAATAATTCATTGAAATGTCAAAGCTTCCGCGTTTCGCGGAGGATGGAGGGGGAAACTCGCCCCTCCCTGCACCCACCAACCCCCAATTACGTCACTGCTGGTCACCATTACGAACCAATATTTGGCTCGTATAATTTCAAATTTTGCCCCCCCCCCCTAAGAAATCCCTGGATCCGCGCCTGATGTATATACAACGGCAACAGTTTCAATATAAAATATAAGTTCTTCTTACTTAAATCATTGGTCTGGAAACAATTATTTGCCCATTGTTGTGTATTGTATTACATTTTCACTGACAATTCACATTGTAATGCAATTTTCAAGTTTCCCAGGCTTATTTAGGAGAACAGAAGATTGATATTGTTAATTTGTATGATAACATCACTCACTTTGATTTGATTGGAGATATATCTCATTAAAAACAGAGTAAAGGCTATACAGTATCAAACAAACCTACATCATTAAACTTCAAGCTCACTCACACATGATTTATTGCGACACTTTCAAGACTACTTATTATTTCAAGTTCATGTATATACAAAGGGCAACAGCTTCAATATCAAACGTAATTAAATCATCGGTCTGGAAAATGTTATGCCCATTGATGTATATTATACAACATTTTCCATAACGATGAATATACATTGTATAATGCAATTTTCAGGAAAACCATACTTGTCATTACTGTTATATTTGTTATATGATACTAAAGCAAATCGTTTTGCTTATCGATAAGATAAATGAATGTGAAGTACGTGTCAAATAATGAAATCATTACGTGCTATTTTTAACCGGACTAGACATTTGAAATGTATAAAAAATGTATACACTATTGACAGCAAGCAAGTTTTTTATACAAAGAATTCAGAAATTGAACAACATTGCACATTTTAGTCTACACGGCATGCTATACACCCTTAGTTGGACTGTAAACAGTTGTCTTCCATATAAATATACATTTTAAGGAGGTCAATAATCATTATGAAAGCACCAAGGTTGACACATCAATATATATATTGTGCACAAATGTAACAATGTGATAATATTTTTTCTTGGGGGGGGGGGGAGGGGACGGGAGGAGGGCAATCCAAAAAGGGACTGATATGTGAACATTAATATTGATAGGTCGCTTCACAAAAGGGGCATACATAGTCCTTTTTTGTGGATAGTTTTCTGAGCAAAACACAAAATAGGTGGAACCAACTTCCACACAGGTCACATCGCACCCATGGAGGTTTTGGCCCGAATTTACAAAGGAGGTTTGTCGACAAATCTAGGTTTATGTGCTTCATATGACGCGTTTCGATGCGTTTCAGACCAAGGTTTAGACAAACCTTTGTCTGAAACGCGTCATATAATTATGACGCACATAAACATAGGTTTGTCTACAAACCTCCTTTGTGAATTCGGGCCTTTGTGTCTGTGTCCTTCCCTGGCTTTTCACACGACACATTTTTTTTCCCCATGTCTTTTGCGAGATGCCCCACATTCCGAGACTTTGTTCTCTTGGACACAGCTAAAGCGTTCTGCAATTGAAAGCGAAATGTGCGAGTCAGGGGCGGCGATCCCGGGGGAAGGACGGGGTACACGTCTTCCCTCAATTTTCTGAGGGGGATCGTTCCCCATGGATAATTTGAAAAAGTGCACACCAACAAAATGTATAGCAAATACTGACTAAAGACTGCAACACGCTTTAAGGCTCTGGTGGGCCCAAGAGTACAGCGTTTAGACTAATAGAAATGCTAAAATCTTCTCGCTCGGTCGCTACGCTCCTTCGCATAATATCCTAAAAATATACAAGTAAATATTGTAGAAAATATGTATTCTGTTGGTATCACGTATGTACAGTTTACACTGTATGTTAAAAAGATTAAAAGTTATAGAAATAGATCATTGTTCCAAAAATGAATGTTCAGCTTGCTCTTTTAAGAAGTCCCTTCCTGCTCAGTACTTACTAAAATTTACCTAGTAAATATTTACAACCCTTCGGACTGCACACTAAATATCGGCAAAGTAAAAGTGAAGCGTGAACAAAGTATATTGCTTGTTTTTATGCTGTAGTTTTGCTAAAGAATGTAATTTTGTAACACAACAAAACTTCAAAAACCTGTGAGGAGTTTACATATAAGACTTATCATACAGCTTTATGGGGGTAGTCCCTTTCGTCACCTCCGCCTCTTTCACTGGCGTACTGATGGGGGAGGGGGCAGTACCCCCCCCCCCAATACAATTTAAACATGGGTTATTTTTTATTTGATACCAGTGATTTACAAGTATTGCTAAAATGGCAGTATTTTTCCATGAGCTCCCGGGGCTCTACCCCCTGGAACCAACCAAGGGCCCTAAGGCGGGCCCCTGTTTGCTCATCTGGCCGTAATTAAATGCCTAAAGTCCTTGAGCTTTCGGGGGCTCTGCCCTCTGGACTCAACCAAGGGGCCTAAGGCGGGTCCCTAGATGCGTAATTTGGTGCCTAAAAGCCCTTCCGTTATGTTTTTCTTATGTATTTCTTTGTCTTTCTTTCTCCATATCCTCTGCACTCTCCTTATGTATTTTTTGTTTTCCCTTTTCTATTACCTTCCCTTCCCTGGGTATACGTGCTTGCTCATGTACTATATATTTATGGCTAAACAGTTTTGTAAAAAAAAAAATATGCGCGAACGGTCAAGGAGTAAGAAGAAGGCAAAAAGAGAACAAAGACGGCATCCATGGAAGCCATGTGAGAGTGTCCACTTTTTTCGCTTTTACTTTCACCCTTGCATTCTTTCCTGAATCAGAGTTTTCTCACACCTTGTAGACTCGTGCAGGTTATGATCTTGTGTGTGTGTGTGTGTGTGTGTGTGCTCTCGCCTCAGCATTCTTGTGGGGTTTTATGTGCGCTTCACATACCCCTTGTGAGGCATTTTTACTTTGTGGGGTATTTTTTCAGGACCCCACAGAGTAAAGTCTTTCAAATGACTGTATATTCGGTGTCCTATGCCCTGCGGGGCATTAGAAGTGGTACCCCATAAATGACTTTTTGTGAGCGTGTGCTAAAACTTGCACACTTTTTTATGGTAACATCGTAAGCACACCGCCGGGTTGTTATCGCCAGGTTGTACATACCCCACTAGTAGGGGACCACAAGGTATATCTGGAACACACAGAAATACCCCACAATCAGGTGCCCCACAAAGGCCCTGATGTGAGAATGGGTGTGTGTGTGTGTGTGGGTGTGCGTGTGTGTGTGCGTGTGTGTACGCGTGCGTGTGTATGTGTGTGTGTGTGTGCGTGTGTTTGTGTGTGTGCGTGTAACGAAATAACGTATACAATAGCTTGGCAATTCTCATGGTTATTAGATACAATGTGAAAGGAAATGAGAGAATAATGGTCGCGTAGCTTAAATCAAAGTTTCCCATTGCAGTCCTCTCTTTTTGGATATTTTTGCATTTTGTTTTTGTAAGAGGTGTAGCGCCAGAAGAAAGAAGAGGAAGAACAAAAGAAACGGGTGAAGAAGGAGATCGGGGGGGGGGGGGCGAAAGGGCCTTGCCTCCCAGGCTGTTGCACCCCCCCCCCCCTCCAATCAAAAAATAAGAGAAAAGGAAGGAAAGGGAAAGGGTAAGAGGAGATAAAGGGAAGGAAAAAGAGGAAGAAGAAAAGAAAAGAAAAGGGATATCATTTGCAATTTTCCCGCCGGTGGATCGAGGAGGGGCAAAAGGCCCTTACCTCCCCCCGACCCCGCTATAACAAAGAGAGAAAGAAGGAAAAGGGAAAGAGGAGAGCTAAAAGGGAACAAAAAAGAGGAAGAAGAAAAGAAAAGGGCGAAAGAACGGGAGATCAGTTCCGGTTAATCCCGCCGACAACGTGTGGGTCGGGGTGGGGGCCGAAAGGCCCTTGCCCCCCCCCCACCCCCTGCAAACCTTAAGGAGGAGAGAAAGGGAAAGAAGAAAAAAAAAGAGAAAGAAGAAAACTGGGCACTGGCGTACTGATAGGGGGGGGGGGGCTTGGGGGAATTCAAATTCAAACGTGGTTTATTTCTAATTCCATAACGGTGGCTTACAAATAATGCTGAATTCTTTCCGAGATTTTTCCTCAGTTTTTAGTAAATTATACTTGTGTATGCGTTTGTTGGAAAATGACAAATTCCTAAATTTACAGCCAGGCAAGAAATATGATTCTTGAGAAAAGTTAGGGCCCGGGGAAAGGCTGGAATCGCAAGCCTCGAGCTCCCCCCCCCCCCTCCACTTTTTTTGAAAAGGTATAGTAAAGAGAAATAGAAATAAAGAGAGCAAGAAAGTAAGAATAGTTAACTAGTTGCTCATCTAACCAAAATTAAACGCCTAAAAACCCCTGAGCTTCCGGGGTTCCGTCCCTTGCACCCCGCCTAGGGCCCTAGACTCCCCTGGATGCTAATCTGACGGAAATGTAATGCCTAAAACCCCTGTTTTCTGGGGGCTTCGCCCGCTGGACCTCACGCCAATTAGTGTCCTGCCAGTGTCACAAATAAGGTTTTAAAATATGTTCATCTGACCGTAATCAAATGCCTAAAACCCCTGAGCTTCCCGGGTCGGACAAGGTATCAAAATTTGTTTATCTGACCGGAGGCGCGTAGCCAGGGGGGGGGGGGGGGATAGAAAAAAATAGAGAAGAGAGGAAAGGAAGAGGACGTAGGGAGAAAAATGAGCAGACAAAAAACATCTTTGAAATTCAGACAAGAATTAAGAGTATAGAGAACGGTACAACGAATCGTCTTCTATCTCTAATAATTTAATGAAACGTTAAAGCTTCCGCGCTTCGCGGAGGGGGGGGGGACTGAATTAAGACAAGGATTTAGAGTATAGAGAACGGTACAACGAATCGTCTTCTATCTCTAATAATTTAATGAAACGTCAAAGCTTCCGCGCTTCGCGGAGGGGGGGGGGGCTGAATTAAGACAAGGATTAAGAGTCGAGAACGATACAACGAATCGTTTTCTTTTGTCAATAATTTAATGAAACGTAAAAGTTTCCGCACTTCGCGCGGGAGGGGAAAATTGCATTCAAACGAGGATAATTTTCGAGAACGCTTTAACGAATCGTCCTCTTTCACTAATAGTTTAATAAAACGTCAAAGATTCCGCGCTGCGCGGAGGGGGGGGGGGGGGGGGCTGAATTTAGACAAGGATTAAGAGTCGAGAACAGTACAACGAATTGTCTTCTTTCTCTAATACTTTAATGAAACGTCATATATAGCTTCCGCGCTTTGCAGAGGAGGGAGGGGGAAACTCGCCCCTCCCTACATCCCCCTGCATTACGTCACTGCTGGTCACCATTACGTAACAATATTTGGCTCGCATAATTTCAAATTTGGCCCCCCCCCCCCCCCCCTAAGAAATCCTGGATCCGCGCCTGACTGAAATCATGATCGGATTGCGCAATTGTAATGTTCACACATTGCAAAGGATGATGAACAAGGTTAACAATTAAAGTACTAGCGTTATACAGCACCGCATTGGAAAGGCAATAGGAGCATGCCAAGCACTCAAGAAAATCTGGGCATCGAAAGATAAACGCTGCTCAACAAAGGTAGAACTGTACAAAGTCCTGGTGTTGTATGGTGCAGAAACATGGACATTAAAGAAGGTCGATGAAAATAGACTTCATACTTTTGAGATGGCATGCCTCAGGGTATCATGGGTGTGACCAGGTTTGACAGGCTAAAAATCACACACATACGAACACAACTTAACATGGAAGAAACCATCATCGACAGGGTTGCCACAAAAAGACTGAGATAATTTTGACATATCAACAGAATGAATTAAGAAAGATACCCCCACATCCTTCTCAACGGAAATGTACATGGCAAACGCGGCCCAAGGGGAAGACCAGCTAATAGATGGAAAGACTGCTTCGAGGCGGACTGCAACAACAGACAAGTTTACTCCCTGACTAAAGCCACTAGGCTAACAGAAGAAACAGAAGCCGTCATACATCCCAGTGATGGTGTGGACGGCTTGAAGATAAATTTGAATTCTGGTTATATTGCGATTGCATTGTGAGAGAAACTTTGTGGAATCGATCGGGAAATTAGGTTGATCATCTAGCATATAAGTATCGGTGTGTACAGCAAGGTTCTAGAATCATCAAATTGATGAGAAATGTGGCCCAGTCTTAGTAAATACAAGCACTATGTACACATAAATATGTATATGGGACTACACGAACATGGAGTTTAAAAAATCCGTCCCGATTTGTATGCTGTTACATACCATTATTTAGAATATTATGGCATTTGAAGAGCCATGATTTTCAGAGAACGTTTTTTATCTGATGTTCTTCCACACTTGCATAGTAACAATAACAACGCTAACAAATTGTTTTTTACCTCTTCCCAGAACTCAACCTTCTCTTTAAGTCAAGTAAGTCAACGTTAAATTCAGGAGGATCCAGTGTGATCAAGATATAAAATGATACAGAAAACAAAGGCATTTTCATTTGAAAAATGTTAACTACCTCCTGTAACTAATATATACAATAGAATATATAACAACAGGTGGAGAGTTTAAAGGCATTGTTTGAAAATGTTACAGCTGAGATCCATGGCACTACGTGTTATCAGTGTCTGTGTTATGGTGTAATATTGAAGCCCTAAAAAAAATTGCGCTTCAAAATTATCACGAGGGCCTCAAAAAAGTAAAAATCTTTTAGTAACCGGTTTCACCATACTCATTTCCCCCAATATACTGTATACAAAACAAACAATGAGATATAACGGAGTAAACTGCTTATAACAAAATGTCTTTCTGAATGACTTTTGATTTGATTAAAAATCCAACAGACTAAACTTCTAAACTATCATACTCCTATAGATGACTATCAAACCATTCGAATAAGAGACTTTTTACAATAATAAAGGTAATTCTTGTAATTACACGTATTAATTGAAACATGAAGAATAGCATGGCATTGTTGGGACTATACCCCTCAGGGGCAATAGAACATAGACTGATTGCCATACAACACTAATCACACAACCAAAACATATAGTTGTTGTTGTTGTTTTTATGGCGTATTTTCCCAGTGCAACTTGTTACGTATGATTTGGTTGATAATTGGATTCCGGTATCTTAGCTAAGTTGGTCGAACTCTTTTTGTTGAAGCCCCTCTCTTGGGCTAAAGCCAAGTATTCATCGTTATTCCAGGAGAACCATTCATCTTTCTCCTCACAGAAATGTACGGAGCGTGTTTGTTACTATATAAGCTAAAGCATTGACAAAGCAAATAGTTCCCATGATTTGGTCGACATTGTCTTCTAAAAAGAAGACTGAATCTCATTCAATGGATGGAATGGAATTTTCATTCAAGGACCTGAACGTTCTGAAAGAAGAGATTTGGGGTGCTTAATCCAACTGATTTAACTCCAGCTTTCAATAGACCTATTGTGTTGGAAACACATATTAAATCTATGAATGAGGTGCTGTTTTGAGTAATGCAAGTAGGTTGTTGAACAAGCTGAGTAAATCCTAAAGTAGTACACAATTTGGTCATTTAAAAAAAAAAGGGATTTGATGTAAGATAATTCTGGCCGAAAAAGAGAGAACACGTTCTGAAACACTTTCCAAGTTGTCAAAAAAGGTAAAACCACTATCTGGTTTTCTGTTAATAATTCTTTACAGCAAAAAGACTATTTGTTGGTTTAATTTTTAAAGCCACATTAATTTGATATCATCAGTTTCCAGATCACGTCTCCTTTTACATAATTTAAATTTCTTTTAAATAGCATGCAACACCTCCTCCAAGCTGATTGCGATCTTTCCTTTTAAACTCAAAACCCTCGATATAAAGCATGTTACATGTAATATCTTCATCAATCTAATTTTCAGAAAGCGACATTATATCATTATAAATTACACTGCTCGTTGCTCGTTTACGCGGTGGTTTACCGCATCATTATGTTAACAAGGCTTAACATATCTGAAACCGTCTAATCAATGATTTAATATAAATATCTCAAAGTAACAACAAATACCACTATCTGGTTTTCTGTAAATAATTCCTTACAGCAAATAGACTGTTTGTTGGTTTAATTTTTAAAGCCACATTAATTTGATATCATCAGTTTCCAAATCACGTCTCCTTTTACATAATTTAAATTTCTTTTAAATAGCATGCAACACCTCCTCCAAGCTGATTGCGATCTTTCCTTTTAAACTCAAAACCCTCGATATAAAGCATGTTACATGTAATATCTTCATCAATCTAATTTTCAGAAAGCGACATTATATCATTATGGATTACACTGCTCGTTGCTCGTTTACGCGGTGGTTTACCGCATCATTATGTTAACAAGGCTTAAAATATCTGAAACCGTCTAATCAATGATTTGATATGTATATGTATATATATATAAATATCTCAAAGTAACAACAAATAAACGAAATATTCTGAGAAATGTTACAAGTTATGGGTCCACATTCTACTCATTCTGTTAAACCCAATACTTAGTCTATTTTTATCTAACATAAACATAATGCCTCAGACTAGCTTCTTATGTCAAAACCGATTCTGAACAAAATAGTCTAAGCCCAGCATTAGGATTAAACTGAATGAGTAAAAAAAAAAAAAAAAAAAAAAAAAAAGGGATAAGGAAGTCCAAAGCGTATACTCACACGAGACATGGAACAATTTCTTTCCAGAACAAGGACAACACAGTGATCAGAGCCGGATGAGCGTTGCGTGACAAAATGGTTGAATGAGGAGTTCAACAATGACCTTCTTCATGTTCGCATTGGACAATTCCATTTCCGAAGAGGGGTATGAAGGGGGTGTGGAATCAATGCTCTAAACACTTTCTTTTATAACGACGCCCTCTAACAAAGAAGTCAACATTCGTGACAACAAAAACAAGGACTAAGTTAGCTTGTCTATCGAATGCACGCAAACGTGATCCAATTCGAGGCTTCTCATTGGCTACATTCTTAAACTCATTTTATACATTTTTTAATTGGACTGTACTTTCCCTACAGGGCATTGAAGTTATCTAATAAAAATGAGAGACACATTCTTTGTCCCCTAATTTCTGTTTTGTTACCTATACACTCAGAGGAGCAATTCATTCAAGTTATAATGATAGAGTACAAAGTATATAGCCACCTAATGAGCTATGAGAAATGGCCCTTATTTCCATTTGTTTTACTATTAGCTTCGGCATTTCTGTCTGTAAATCTAATTGTAGGTGAATCGTGGCCTTTTCGAAGTAACTTACTTCGGCAAATGGTTATACAAAAGTTCAGTACAGGAATTTAAGAATATCTTCCCGATGGCATACCAGTAAAGCAACGGCTCCATTGAAGTTCTCTTAATTTACCTTGAGGAACATAACAATCTTCTGAAAGCTTTTCTGAAGTCTTTGTTGAATCCGTACAAGAAAGGATTTAGTGTGGAGTTCAGATAGGCCAGCCAATAGGACATGTCATACAGTCTTAGCGGAATACAGTTACAGTAGGAGTTGAGTGGAAAGAGGATTACGAATAAAATCCAGCACCCGATAAAGGACGCTACAATGATACCAAGGGTTCGAGCTCTGCGCTGGTGCAGACGAACCTTCTCAAGATTGCGAAGGTCTACCCGTGTAGCTCTCGGACCTTCGCTAGAGTTCGTGATAGATTTGCTGTTGGAATCTGTGAGATTCGTCTCTTGGAACCTGTGAGACGACAATGACCCATGTGCGTTTGTAATGGTAACTTGATGACCTTTTTTTTCGTCTCCGGTGCCATGGTGGTCCGCCATCTTGGTGATATCTAGAGTAGATGTAGAATTAACTTTAAATGAGATAGTTGAGATCGTCAAATGCGGCTTTTCTGCAAGGGTGGATTTAGAAAGGGTTGTTTTTCTGAAACAGCCAAATGATTTCCTAGTAGGGTTAGGATGTGAAGGTTCCATCTCTGTAGCCTGTGACCGCTGCAAATTCAGCAGATTCTGCTTCAAAGCATGAAGCATCTTGACGTAAAGGTATACCATAAATCCCATCGGGATGGAGTAAATGATGGTATTTGAAAGCAGAACGTAGATGAAACCTGGCAGGTACAGACAGGCCGAGTCAATCGCGGAGCTACCCAAGATAAATCTGTGTGCTAACACTGCAGGAATCCAGCACAGAAGCGCTAATACCCAAATGGCGCCTACAAACAACAGCGCCCTCTGCTTCCGCTGTCTCTGTAGATACTTCACTGGCTGGGTGATAGCCCAGTAACGGTTTAACGAAATCATGCAGATACTGAAGACAGATGCTGACACGCACGTGAAGTCAACTATGATCCAGAGTTCACAGACAAAGGGGCCCAGTGGCCATCTTCCTAGAATTGTGTAGACACTAAACATTGGGATTACGAATATCCCGACAAGAAAGTCAGCGCATGCAAGGCTGATGATATAGTAGTTGCTATTGCGGCGTAATTTTACGTCGACGCATACGAGAAAGATGAGGATCACATTTCCGAGAACCGTGGTAAGCGACATCAAGGACGCAAGGCTGATGAACAGGCAGTTCTCCCAAGTGAATTGAAACAAGAACGAAGTGTTCGACATAGGACTATTCCAAGGTGAATCCATTCTTTCATTGCCGCTACTAGACATGACTGAACATAATTATCCTGGTTATCTTCTTCCGAAATTAGGATTCAGGAATCCAGAATGCTTCGAGTTTTCAAAGATCTCTTCCGTCAAACCTACGTGTCCTGTAAGTCGTCGTGGTCAAATTTGCTCCACTCCGAACAATGATGTTTAAATTCAGATTGAAAATTGCTGTTAGAACATTTCACACCCATCAATTATCAAATGCCTACGCATCGAAATATAGACCTTTAATTGGTACGGAGTAGGTAAAAGGTGATACGTGTACGATCAATAGAGATGCAGTGAAGGTGTGACTTTCATGAAGGAAATTTGATTATTTCCCATCCTGAAAAATCATCCGAATATCCCCGCGAGAGACGATTGTAATAAGTGGAAAGTCACAAAGCCAAACGAGCGCATAAATGAGATTTTGTCCACTGTTACCGTGTTTACACAGTGATCCGCCTCGAGGGTTGAATCCGGGTTGAAGCCGCGAGGCGTGTTGAACCCGGCAATTTTATGTCATGTAAACGGGGTCCCATTGCCGGGTTCAACACGCCTCGCGGCTTCAACCCGGCTTCAACCCTCGAGGCGGATCACTGTGTAAACACGGTATATATGTCCATCCATAATTCTACATATTCCTGACCAAATTTTTCATATAAGGGATAAGATATGGATATGAGTTCAACTAAAATGTGCCGTTACTATGGCGTTGTGTATATGCCGACATAGTCGACAGACCCTCATCAAATAAAATGACTTCTAATCAAAATTTGCACATGGACTCCCTGCTCTTGCCAAAGCATATTTGATGCATTCATGTTTATTTGTTTTTAAAAAGATGTAAATCTGCTTGCTACTCAGAATGAAAATTATTTGAGGATTGAAAACGATAATTAAAATGGAAGTCGCATTCTGATTGATCAATTCTAACCATAATGGTCATAGGGATGAAAGGATTTCCTTTAAATTTCAATCTCTCAAAAAAGCCAAATATGGGATTTCCATCAGTGGCGTATCTTCGGTCCAGCAACTGGCACACTGAGTAGCGTGGGAACCCCTCCCCCACATTATTAGATGCATAAGATGCTATACAGAACAAGGCCATAGAACACTTTCTACATTTTTACGAATTTATATTTCTACGTAATTTGAATTTTTGATGGAATATTTTAGCTTTCGAATACAATAGATGTGCAATTCAGCTTTTTGCTGCAAACCTGTTGACTTATAATCCGTGTTATAATTGAATCGAGCTAGGGGAGGATGTGGGAGGGAGTCGTATCGTCTCCTTGTTACGTCGCCCCTTCCCCATTTTCCCTTCCCCCTTTTCCGTTCTCTCTCTCTCTCTCTCTCTCTCTCTCTCTCTCTCTCTCTCTCTATATATATATATACATATATATATATATATATATATATATATCTTTCTCTCCTTTTCCCATTAGATGGGGGCAATTTAATAACCCCATTCCTCCAGTAGTTAACCACGCGTTGTATTCCTCAATGCCCAATGACACAAACGGCGCCAATATTTACTTTCCATCAAATAAAACTGACTTGTCGGATGGGAGGTTGTAAATAAACTGCTCCCCAAAAAAATATGAATGAATTTGTACAATACCCTAATCTTGCCACATTTTTCATATGCTGTCTTAGCTTGGGGTGGATGTTTAATTACCTTAACGAACCGTCTGCAGATTTTACAGAAAAAGGCTGTTCGTGCAATAACAAACTCTCCATATCTTGCACATACTGCACCCTTGTATAAACGCCTGAATATTTTGAATGTGAAATCTCTATATTATATGCAACTTGCTCAATCTATGTTTCTTTTCAAGAAAAATCAGCTGCCATGTATTTTTAATGAGATGTTCATTGTTAATGCTGAAATTCACTCTTATGAAACAAGAAGTTCAAATAAATTTCTTTTGCCCTCTGTTAAAACAACTTTTCTTCAAAGGAACATTATTTTAGTGGACTATGGAATTTACTTCCCAATGATTATTGTCAGCTGCTCATCACTTTATTCTTTCAAGTCAAAGTTGAAACAATTTTGATCTCGTATCCAACTCTTAAAATATAGTTTGTACGGTGTTTCTTTCTATTGTTCTCAATATTTCTTTCCTGTCATTCATTTCCTCTATATATTGTATTTCTTGGTACCACCAACCCACTACTACTCACCCCATACATAGATTTGCATGTAATATATATATATATATATATATATATATATATATATATATATATATATATGTTTTTGTATGGGTCATTGTTTAATTTAAAAAAAAACTATTGTAATTTTAAGCAGGGGATGATCCCCGATAAACCTCTGTGGTTTTTGATCATCCCCTCTGCAGGTTCATCTTTTGTTGTAATGCTTTTATATTTGATTGTAATTTAAACTGTCTTTTATGAATCTGTTGAAATAAATGAAATTGAAATTGAAATCTATATGAATTCATATCCGTTGCATCTGCATATTTGGCTGGTACTTTCTAAAAGTGCGATTTGGAGATGAAAATTTTAAAGGAAAATGCACTATAGCGTTATTGGATATTTATAATTCAGCTACTGCGATGGCAACTGCCATCCATTGTTTTATTCCCTAATCCATAATTGATTGAATCTAAATTCCATTCGACCTTGCGCAAAGAACAACGCATTAAGCGTGGGTCGACAAATTAAACATCATAGATCATTTCCACAATATCCCATGCAGTCACCCTGAGAAAATAACATCGAGCTAATCAATGAACGACCAAATCTTGGCGTTCGAGTTATGAAATCTTTTGATAACTGAGTCGAGAGTCTTGTTTCGGTTGTATGAGTGTGAGTGGGGTAATAAAATCGAGTCGATTGCCAAGTCAATGAACCACTATATACCACAACACCGCCTTGTTAAAAATCTTCTCCTGATGTTGAATGTTTACATTTCTTGAGTGTTAACCTTTAAATGTTATGACCCGCAAAGGCCATTGGTTATTTCAGGCGGGGGTACAAGTTAGTGTTAAAAATTATCTGACAAGCTCAACAAAGGGTTGTGATAAAAGAACTAATAGGTGAGGGGGGGGGGGGGGGGCAAAGTTGACCCTCGATTTCCCGACCTGCCATCGATTAATTGATGGTGAGAACTACCTACAAGTAGGCGAGGTATAATACACGGCCTTCATGCAGGTGATATTGAAAAGGACGTTGAGTATCTTGTTTTGCACGAAATGGTCAGAAGTTTTGGCGAACGATGGCTATCAAGCTCGTTCTCTGATTAGTGTCTCAGCTTCGAGGAGAGAAAGAGAGAGAGAGAGAGAGAGAGAGAGAGAGCAATACAGAGATGAGAGGAAGGAGAGAGGGGGAATATGTACGACACCCTTCTTCATATCCCCCTCTCTCTATGACCTTGTTCTCTCGTTTGTCACCTACCCTAGCCTTTGTTACAAAGCCCCCCCCCCCCCATAACGCCAGTGTGAAGGACCCGCGCTACACCACTGTTTCTAATATTAGTATGGGTGTAATCCACATAGAGTGCTGATGAGTCCTCATCTGTTTGTATATAGTAGTTTTTAAAGGTAATGCAAAGTTTTGGGAAATTTTGAAATTTGGATGGATAGTAATTCTTTCAAATTTTGATATATTTGGATGCCCCTGTGGATTTATCATAAGCACTAGAAAATTAAACCCCTTAAACACTTCTGCTTTCGAGAAATTGAATGATCAAAAATTTACCGGTGTTCACGGTAAATTTCAAATATTTCAAATAGCGCCTAAGGCCATTCCATTGTAGCTGCAACCATGAAAATCTCAGAATACGCAGTTCTGATACATAATTTCCAAACGGGAATAGCTAGTCGATCGATTGTAGTCAAGAAACATTGTTTTAAAGCTTAAGCAATATCAGTATTGAGAGGGGGCTGTACAACATAAATAGTTTATTATTTACAATTTCCTCAATTTAGACTCGATTTCAACCGCGACAACGATCAGTGAATATTTTAAAATCGCAAATGCTTCCAATATGTTCATTTGAACCAAATTCATGACCCCATACCAAAACTTTGTATTACCTTTAATTCCGTATATTTGTGGGGGGAATTGTTATGACTTTCATGAAATAATTTTTCTTTTTTGGTATTTGCCAGCTATGCAATTGACAAAATATCCCTTCTCCCTTCTCCGTAACCTCCACTGGCTCCCGATCATCAAGCGGATTCACTTTAAGATCCTACTTCTCACCTACAAGTCTCTCTCTAACTCCACCCCTTCTTATCTGTCTGAACTCATTTACACCTACACACCCTCCCGTGCTCTCAGATCCCAGAACAAACATCTTCTCCAGATTCCTCGTTTTAAGACCCAGTAGGCTACTACGGCCGTAGCTCCTTCACCTTCAATGCTCCCACCCTCTGGAACTCTCTCCCGCTCGTCATTAGAACTGCACCTTCCATCCAGACCTTCAAGACTACACTTAAGACCTACCTTTTTAAGAATTAATTATTATTATGCTTTGCTATCTATAATTTCAATCGAAATTGTATATGCCTACAACTTGTAATATATGAATAAAATCTTGAACCATAATTGTTGTATCATTATTTAAGAATGAATTATAATGTTTATCTCTCTAGTTACTGTTAAATTATTTTAGTTAAGATTTTGGCAGAATTTTTGTTTTAGGATAGTTCAATAGTAGATGCATGTAATTAATTAAGCTTGTAATACAATGTAAAGCGCATAGAGACATACCTTGTATAATGCGCTATAGAAATATAATTTATTATTATTATTATTAAAAAAGCAATCAAACTTCAACGAGACATCTTTGCATAATGTATTGACTGTTCATGTATAAGTCCTCGTCATATACTCACATCAGCATACCACGCAATTCTGTCGCCACAATTTCACAAATGGTTGATTTCTGCCTTTCTTGCAATGAATGCTTCTAAATATAGTATTAAATGCGACTAGGGGAGTGACTTGATCATTGTGTGATACACGTATAACTCCAAAACTCTATCAGAGAAAAATAGGGAAGATTTTTTTTTTCCTTCAGACTTTATGATTGTCAATTAGCTTCATTTCGTGTTTGCAATTCCAATGCAAATAAGGTAAATTCATCGATCAAACCCATGACATTTATCATGCTCATGTTATAATTCTTCAGTATTTTGTCTGTCACTATAAACGCATCACATTTATGTATTACGTATGACATCTTTTATGCCAATTAATGAATATATATGCATTTTCTGCACGCCCATATCATGCATATTGAATCGGGAATAAATCGAATGAAATCAATTCAAAATCGAATCATTGTTATATTCATGTAGTATGTTTGCATAAGCCATTCTGCTAACGTACTTATTTTATATACCTTAGATTGTGGTGAAGATGCTATTGTAAAAATGGATGTAGGAAAGA